TCCAAATTCTCAAGTGTATGCATTGTTTGACAACATTAGAGAATCGAATTTTGTTCCTTTGATCTTTGGTACCTATCGAATGTGTTTTGTGGCTTATAGTTATGGATTCTTTATTGCTCTTTTAGGTAATGTGAGTTGTAGTTTCTATTCTATAATCAATCAAGTTGGGTGATTTGTTTTGGTCTTTGGAATATCTGGTATTGGGAAGTTATTGGTTTCAAACTGTATCAGAAGAGTTTTTTTTTTTTTTTACATCATAATAATATTAGCACTCTTTCAAAAGTGATTCATGTTTATTAATCAGCAACTACTTTAATCTTAATTATTTGTAACTAATAATAATCCAATAATATATTAACATGAATATAATAATTTATAATTTAAATGAGAGATATTCATTAAAATAATTGCATCACACAAGACATGGCGGTGAGGACAAAGAGAGATGTAAAAACAAACTTAGAAAACAGTCATTTTATTTTGCTTAAGAATGAAAATCGAAACAAAACCAGGCTCTATGAATTTAATCTAACCTTTTTCAAATTAACAAAATTTATCAGCTTATTTAAAATATGTGTCCCACTTGGTTTATAAATATGTAATTTGATCGAAATCAAAAGTTTTAAAACCATGTTAAATGACTTAAATATCATTTCCATAGTTTCCTCTATTTATTTATTTTTTTAAATCTTTAATAGAAATGATTGAACCAAGGTTAATTAAGGACTCTTTTCTATACTTATTTTATTTCTGAAACTAATTAAACTAATCATTCTGGATTTATAGAGAATAATCATTTTTTCTAGTTTTAAAAAAACATTCTTTTGAATATCTCATTCCGAACTAATCTTTTCTTCAAATAAATCTCGCTATTTATGTCCCAATGTCATTTCAAAGTGTTTAATACCATAAATTTTCAATCAAATGAAATTTATTCTCCAATATCCTATTTATTATGTTTGTTAACATTTTTATTAAACTTTTTCTTGAAATTTTGAAAATGTTCATTAGATTTCAGATTAATTCTTGAAATTCAAGAGTGTATTTTTTTTCGAACTCCAAATTTTTTACTTTGAAATCTGAATGTCAATCTAATTTCAAAATGTTAGTCCGAAATGTATTTCTTTGTTAGAAAAAATGTTGTTATCAAGTCTGGAATGCCAATTGATGTTTATTTTGCAAAAAATATTATTTTTCTTGTTATTTTCTTTACATAGATATTATATTATGGTTAGTTTAATTAATTTCCCAATTGATGTTTATTAGCCTTTTCTAATAAAGAAATTAAATAACCCTTCATCATATTCCAATCACTGGCATATAAAAACATCATGTACCCATTTCCGCCGCCGCATCAAACCCTACGTAACCCTCGCTCTCCATATAGTTCTGTAAATCGAGAGCCAAACGTGGCCTTACAATCGAGAAGAAGCTGCAGGTATAGGTGCAGGTATGCTCGTTAATTATCTATTAACTTACTTTTTCAAAATGAAACCAGATTATGACATCAACACTCGTTGATTCGTCGACTATTACATGAATTTGGGTTTGAGTAAGAACAATGGGTGAACACAGATTAACAAAATTGAATAACTTTCTTTGCAATTAACCTCGGTTAATTTCTATTACTTATCATCATCTTTAGAGTTTTATAAAGTTAATTGTAAATTTGTTTTAGATTCTGAGATGGACTCTTTTTAGAGATTGAATCGCAGGTCTTTCGGGGGCGGAAGCTAATACAACCTTACTCAAGATCCTCAATCGAAAACCATACAACCTTACTTTTTTATTCTCCCCAATTGCGATTTGTGAATCGAGAAGGAGTTGCAAGAAAAAAGCAAAGGTGAAGGTATGATATTTCATTATGTATTAATTCACAAGCATCTTCTATACAATCCATCGTTTTGTTGTGTTTGTTTTTAAATTCTTATATACAATCCATTGTTTTTTTGTGTTTTTTCTTAAATTGAAACATCAACATTTGATGAATCATCGAATGATTTTAGAAAGAATTATACTTTGTGCAAGAACAATGAATGAACGGAAAATAGCAAGGAAAATAGCAAGTAAACCAAGATGGACAAAATTAAGTATCATTCTTTGGGATTAACGTCAACTTCTGTTAATGTTAAGTTTATAAGTGCCTAAAGTTAATCTTTGTATTTGTTATAGATTCTAAGATGACTTTTTTTTTTGCAGATTAAATCATAGGTGTAAGGGCGAAAGCTAAACGAATCTAAGATGCATTTAATTAGTTGCTTATGTAGGTGCTACCACAAGTAAGAATTTTGAGCAAAGGATGTTGTTACTGTCATTATTAAACCAGATGTTGAGGTTCTCATGGTTCCTTTAAGAGATAGCTAGGCTACCTCATTTTCCTCATAAAATATATGACGAATATGGACTTCAAAATGAGGAAGTTGAGTGCTGCAAGATTCGGTGTTGAAGAACACATGAACCGGAACACAAGTATCCTTGAGACTATCATCTTAGCATCCGATAGATGACACAGAATCCTCATGGACCCATCGAGGGAAATGAAGCGGTCTTGTAGTCTCAAAATGGCTATTTGTGTTTCGGTTCATTTGCTCTTCCACACCGATTCTTGTAGCATCCAACTCCCTCATTTTGATACTCATATTCCTCACATACTTTGTGCAGTAAATGAGGTAGTCTAGCTGTTTCTTGACAGGAACCATGAGAATCTGAACAACTGGTTTAAAAGGGGGGTAACAACATCCATTGCTCGATATTCTTACTTGTGGTAGCACCTACATAGACAACAAACTTTTACAGAAGCACTCAAACAATCAACAAATGAGACAAGTTTCTTCCTCCAATGTAGAAATATCTAATGATAATGAGTAGCTCTTGTATTGTCAAGTGTGATTCTAATTAAAGATCTTTTTTGTGTGTTCCTAAGGGTTTCCTCCACTATTAAGTAGCTTTCTTTGTATGTGTCTAGTTTCTTTTTGAACTTGAAATTGAGCTGATGTTAATGTCTGTTTTTCTAGAGGCGTTTTCTTGTTACTGTGTTATCATTTCATCTCCAATGGCTTTCTTTTTATTTGTTGTTTCCTTAGATAATGATCAACTTTCGGTGGGTTTTTTTTTTCAGCCTAGATCTCTTAAAAACAGTTAGTTTTAAGTTTTAACCAATAATGTATGAAGTTTTGTTCTATTGTTGTGAAATTTTTGTTAATATAGAATTATGTGTCATTACATATTCATTAAAGAAAAAACCAAAATAGAAGAGGCATAACCAACCTTCTTCACATATAATACAATATAATCTTTTAACTTCATCAAATGGATTTTGTGAACCACAAAATTGCTTTATAATGATTTCTACAACAAAAAGGCCAAAAGATGTGAAACTTTCAAATACTGTAAGGTTTATTATAGGTGGAACCATATAAAGCAAATTCATAAATGGCAAAAAAAGATGACCATTTTCCTATTATGTTACCTCCTATTTTGGTTATTTATATAAATCACTAAACAAAGTTTAGACAAAACTACACAAATAGTCCTTGTGGTTAGCTGAAAATTGTCACTTTTGTCTAAATAAGTTTGGACTAGCATAAGAGGTCCAAACTTTTCATTTTGTTGCAAGTTTGACCCAATTTGCTTTAAACTTTTTTATAATGACGATTTTATCCTTACCTTTTCCTTTTTCAATTTTATTTATCTATTTAAATATTTGACTGATTAAAAAAAATATTTTTTTTAAAAAAAGACAAAACTCTCTCTCTCTCTCTCTCTCTCTCTCTCTCTCTCATAAACGACCACTTTGTTTTTTTGTGAAACCCAAATGGAGAAAGCAGCCTCCATCACCCACTGGCGACACCCCTCGTTGCTGCTTCATTCCCTGACCACTGGCGACACCAAGAAATACCTCAACATCACCGAGGACCACCTTGCTCCACCACGTCACCACCGCAGCCGCCCACCACCCTCTACTCCCCTACTGCCTTTACCGATCAAACCCAACCCAACTCCCTTCCCTTCACTTCGTTCTCGCCGGAAGGAAATCAAAACAGGAGGCAGCAAGGGCAGCAACGAGGACGAACCGAGAATGGGGTGGCGCTGAATAGATATGAAAAATTGATAACAGGTTCGACTGTGCGCAATTTTCCCAAACGAGAACGAACATATCTGGACTGATGGAGAAGATGAACCGAGAATGGGGATGCGCTGTAAACCGTCTTGACTGTGCACAATTTTCCCAAACCGTTGTTTCTCTTTCTTCGTCGGATCCTGCTAGGGTTTGCCCTTCTTCTCCGCCGTCGTTGCTATGATAGCGGGTTCGACTTGTTGAAGTAGTCACTCGACGATTTAGGGT